TTTGCCGAACAAACGCGTGAAGTTAAACGTGAAACACGATCTGAACATGCTAATAAATTCTTATCGTAGCGGTTCACTTATAATTTAAAAAATACACGAAAATGGATACTAATAATTATATCAAAGCTGTTTCAATGGAACTAAACGGAGTGGCTTTTTTCTTTATGGTCGTTGAAAGTTTCTAATATTTCTGGACAAATTTGTCCGATATATTAATTAGTTTCGATCAGNTGTTTTGTTTGTCCGATATATTAATTAGTTTCGATCAGATAGAAACGAACTAGTATTTTTAGAGAAAAACAATAATTATCTCAGTCATGTACGAGCTGTTGTACGAAAATAGAAATGATATAGTTGATTTTTGATCGCGTTTTTCAAGATCTCAGCTTTGTTGTAATTTTTGAAGGTCGTCAAAACTGACATTGAATTGGAAAGGGAAACCGCCTGCCCTGAATACTGCGACAACCAGACTGTGCCTAATACGTTTTACTTTTCTTCTTATTCGTTACATAAAAAACGATCCATGATCTCAGATAAATTCGGTCGAATCGCTTTTTGCTCGTCACCGTGTACTCCCAACGCCCCCGAGAGCTTAGATAAAACGTGAGACTCGTTCATGTATAAAATAACTGAAATTGTTCGTAGTAAGCAATTGACCTTTGTAAATGTAATAATACAAAGTCGTAGGAAATGCGAAAATTACCACATCGATTGAAATGCGCGATAGTACCCACTGCGTTTTGTTGGGAAGACACGACCTGTTCTTGTGTGTAACCCCACCGCCTCCGAGCTCATATATAATTAAGTGTCGAAATGAACGGCTTTAAAGAAATAAAAAATGTAAAAACCTTCGTTTGCTCGTTACTACAATGGCGCGGCAAATAATTCGCCGACTAAATAAATGTGTTTCTTTTGAATTCATTTTCAAAGTCAAAACGACAAAAAAAAATAACTATTTCATCGTTAATCATTGTAAACGCAAATCGTTTGCGGTGTGTGTGCTTTGGGCGAGCAAGCGAGTGAATAATGTATCTCTCTCCGTACGCCTATTTCTTATTATACCGAGATCATTCCTGATAACTTAATGAATCTAGTCAATGTAATCAAGTAAGGAAATCTAGTCGGACAGTTTTTTACTCTTGTTTGGTACACAACTCCTCTAGCGTCTTTGCTTTACTCACCCCCTTGCCCACCCAGCACGGCAAATCGATGACCTCCGTGTCAGTTGTCATCCGTGTACAGTTCGTCGTCGTAAGTCAGTAAGTCAATTGTTTTATGTGTCGTATTTTTTTGTAGCAAGCGCCTTCGCTTGAATGGTAAATTGTTCGACCATTGTACGCCGTTATTCTTATTATTTGTTCATTGTGCTCAAAGTTCTCGTGCCCTTGCATGCCACCAGTGCAATTTCCATTGCCGCAGTCGCTTTTCCGCCGCCTGTTTTCATCTGCCATTGCGTCTACACTCTGACTCGTGATACTCAGATGTTCGACACCATTGCCACAAGATCCCATACAGTCCACTATCGATAACTTCATCTATTCAGCTGAGTTTTTATATTATTTTTTAATCGTTTTAATTGAGTTTAACTATTTTGTATAATGCCGCTTCGCCGGCTATTAGTACCCCTTAAATTTAAGATACTCTTCTTCGAAACTTCTAATATATGTGGATATTTGTTATTTAATTATTGTCTACTCTCGTTACTTATCGGGATGTGCGGTTAGTCGTTATCCTCCCAGGTGACCCCTCTCTTGCTTCAATAATAGCGATTTAAACAGACTTAAGGTAAAACGGCATCCTAGTGCTCTGCAACACTAGCCGTCCTACGGTACGTAACAACTCTTACTTTACCAGTAACCATCACACTGGAAATTTGCAAAAAACAAAACGCCCCAAACGACGTTAACTGGCAAACCGACACGCTCAACAAACAAACAAAATATCGCAACGTTCTATTTTTCTAAAAAAAAAAAAAACTAAGCCGTTAATCTCGTGTGTTATGGCCGCCATAAAAATCATAAACGAAAATACCGCGGGGGTCGTTAAGAGGAAAAATAAACTCCCTAAATGTTTATTATTGTCTATAAAAAATCATAATGACGAAGGGGTGGGACCCGTATGAACGATTTTTCACAATCAACAAATATAATAAAAGAAGTAGATTTTTTAATCGTCAGCCAAAAAAAAAACTGTATACACAACAAAATAGTTATTACACTTATTATAATTACAGTCGTTACTCGTTTCGGGTGGCCGCGACGATGATAATAACGATAACGACCGTAATGATACAGTCGGCGGAGGATTATGTCGGTACGGAGATAAGTACACCGTAATTAATGTGCGCGTGCATTAGCTCCGGTGCCCGCGGTACGCGGCTTTGGCGTACCTAATGGTACCTCGGCGGCGCTGGTCCCACCGACCGGGGCGCACCATCGGTTGGTGCACAGATACGCATTTCGAGCGACGGCGGACGTTCCAGATGTATTGCTGGTGCTGGCGCGTCGTGAAGCTCACAAACAAACATTCGGCCATTACAATGCGATGACTTATGATAACAAATGTATCTACATATCGAGCTCGGCTGCGCGTAACTCGTTTGGGAGCAACGAGAACCGCGTGGTCCGTCCGGTCATACTCCGGTGCACACACAACGCTTTTATTTTTAATGGGTTTTTTTACTACCTCCGAAATCGCCGTACACGACCGTTTGTGCGTCTCCCTCCGACATTAGTGTGTTTCTATGTAAACTAAATGTCGTCGTCGTCAGTGTACCGTGTTCGTTTTGTACGCCGGCCGACTGACGGCCAACAACAGCACGCTTTGTGCACACCAACTTGAGCCGTACATAATAAAATTTATACATTTTCCATTGACCGTCGTACGTGACCGTGTACAAAAATTACACGGGTTTCGTTTAAACGCGACAAGCGGTCGTACGAAATTATATTAGTTTTATTTTTTTCCTCGGCGAGAAATTTCGGCCGACGAATGTCGCACTTATTATAATGGCAAATCACTAGGGCGAGCACAACTAACGCAAATCGAGGTTGCCAAAAAAAAAACATTTTCGCTTTTGTGTGTAATGTGATATTTCACTTTTGCTTGGAAAATAATACACGTTCGGTTGTCACTAACATCACACGGACGACGCCGCACGCACCGCGTCCCACGGACAACACCATTAAATTTTCAACGTCTGGTCGTTACGGACGCCGTACCGCTGGCCGCTCGCATACCGTCGTACTTCAACGTGCCGTCTGCGAGTGTCGTAGGAATACACGCGGCGGTTGTTCGCAAATGCGTTGGCTGTTTTACGGTACAAAACATCAGTTCCATAGACACAATCGTATTGGAACCGTCTCGACGTAGATTCAGACGCAAAGCGTTTCCGTTCCATCCGAAAATGATTCGTATCGTTTGTGGGACATTAACAGCTACTCGTGGGAAGGGACGACAGTTTTTGATGTTGCGTTCGAAATAATAACATTTTCATCTCGGTTTGAATGGAAAGTTCTGCACGGGCCGACAAACGAAAGGGGAAAAAAACCGCAGTCAGTCGTTCCGGTCGATCGACGGCGGCGGCTGAAACGATAACGGCCGCAACATCCACCGGCAAAACTACACAGCGATAAGGGCGGCGGGGGGGGGGGGTTTTGGGGTTAAATACTTCTTATTTATTTTTAGTCGTCTGCCGCGAGGTAAAATTGCAACGACGCCATATTATTACTCTTTACCTTTCAATAACAGCGTTTGTATTTATTTTTAGCACGACCCGTACTGTTCGACTGTTGTTATTGATTACTCTCCTAAACTTAAACGTGACAGTTGGTTTTTTTCTTAACAAATCGACCGGCTGAATACCTTTTGTTTGGTAATTATGTTTAATACTTCAAAAGCCGCCAATGTAGTTCTTTAAAAAAATATTAACAATTTCCAAGAAAGATAAAAAAAATATATCGGAGAATGTATGGCTACGTATTTTAGTAATAAAACAAACGCGTGGGGCGTGTAAAATTGCAAAAAAATTAATAATTCAAACATGACGAGATTTTTGTTTTTTTTTTACTAACCAAGATAGATGATTTGTATAATGTATGATTCATGTGTGAAACATTACCCAATGTAGATATCAAAATCTGATAGTTCGGCATAATGACCGGGACTGAATTTTCTCTAGTAGAATCACTCTGTGGGATCTCAGATAATAGATAGCTGGATATTTTCGAATAACATTTATGTTTTACTATTGTATCGAAGAAATTCGAGACAATGGCCATAAAATCTAAAGGTTAATCTATGGAAGGGTAATATATTGTCATTATATTATAATAAAACAACGATTATGTAGTAAAAAGAATAAATAGGTTACACAACAACGGTAATATATTTATATAAAATTTGTTAAAACATGATATTTATTGTGCGCAAAAGTTGCAATGTTTTTTTTTTACTAATATTGTTTCTAGATAAAAATAAAAAAAAATCCGAACGACAATAATATTGTGACATTTTTAACGTAGGCCTCGCAGAAAAACAACAACTCAAATGTAATCATTGTATTATTTATAATAATTTATCGTTGAAACTTGAAATTTATACTTGACTAAGCACACCACAACATTTGCAATAATGGCGTTTGACCTGACAGCCGTAACAATTCTTACTAAATTTTACTTTTTATAACCGAGTTTTACACTTGTAACGTTTGAATTTACAACAGAGTATTCCAGCAGGTGTAAATGAATAAAAAGAGTTTTCGTACAGTGTAAAAAATTGTAGGTAACGTTGTTATAATGGCAGTACAATTCAGTATGTAGACCTAGATCGTAATAAATGTATTTTAAATTGAAAAACATGTGTAGAAAGAAGAGAAATAACCGCATAAAAATAAAAAATAGCGTACTGATGCCATCAAATAGCACGAGCTACTTTTTCCATATGAAAAAAAAAAAGAAAAACATTAAAATTATATTTAGATTGTATGTGACATTATTTACCTGCGTGTGTTTATTTTTCGACAATAATAAAATGACGTCCACCTCGACGAAAATAGGGACTATTCTTCTGCAATAGATTTCTAACTAAAAAATATATGTTTTCCTAATAAATTAAACAGCAATAACGTATTTTATACTTCTGCTAAAGTTTTAGGTACATTTTTGACAAGGTTAAGTATGTCAAAAAATATTATTTATTAACACTTGATTTCTTAAAATTAATTTATAAAAATAATACAAATAAAAACCCGAGCTAAAGTAAACATTGAACATATTTACCTAAACGATATTATATTAAAACATTTTACGAAACACTCATAAACAATAGCGAACGGCAACTTAACACGTGATCGCGATAGTCTCTATTTTTAATAATTACTATTTATATCAAAAATAATCGAGTAAATTAATATTTTAAGATGTCAGCAACAGGCATTATAACTAAACAATAAAATTCCGCTCTCTCCGTTTAAATAATCGTGTGTGAATAAACGCGTAGAAAACAAAAATTTAACACTTATTAATGTTTGATTACTGAAACTAAACGAGTTTTTACACTCGCACAAATGTTATATTTTAGCAAATAATATTTTTAAATAAAAAAGTACTCTACACAAATAACAAATAGCGGGACCGTCATATTTTTTCAAATCAATGAGTCATGCGCTTTACATTTATTGTTTCAAATAAAACTCAAATATTGATATATATATATATATATATTTTATTTCTTTGCCTCTAATAAAATATACTCAACCGCAAACANTTTTATTTCTTTGCCTTTAATAAAATATACTCAACCGCAAACACATAATTCAAATAGATTCTAAAATCGCACAGAACTCGCTTAATTCCGGTAAAATATTTTCAAGGGCTAATGTCATATATTTTTTTTTTACAATTGCTGGCAACGATTTCCACGAATACTACAATTTTGAATAGACTCGACTCTTCTAAATCATCATAAAAAACCCACGCCCAGTTTTCACCTGAAATTTGCATTTGCACGAGTCACATAATATTCCGACAACTCGACTGGTGTTCTCAGTGAGTTTACGAGACACACAATGCTCGTAATTAAAATACAATGTGGTGTCTGAAAACGAGCCGTGTAGTTGATATTGCATAGATACACAAAATAATGGCGTACAAACATATATAGTCAATAGGTTCGTTTACAGAGGTGTCCCTAGACGTCGGGCAAATCGAGTTTGCTAAAAGATGTTTGGTATGAACACGATTAAGTGGCGTATTATGGAGCCGCTTTTGACGACGGAACACGAACACAACCGCAGAACGCCGGGCGACTCGTACCCAGTCGGCCAGTGAACGCGTTCCACCCTTTGGCTAATCGAACGGATATTGCGTAAAAAATATGAAAACTCTATTAGCCATTGCGTCACCACAGTGTCGACGGGTAAGCGCGTTTCGGATTCGGCACATCGGTTGGGTCGGGGCGCATCACAACGAGTGCACGCAAACCTATTGAGAATACTTCGTGGAAAACGACGTAAACGCGTCCCCGCGCGGTTCGGACAATTTTTCGCAGGACGGCGTCCATTTGCTAATAACATTATTTCTGTGCACACCGATAACCGGCAGAGTGTCTATTGAGTAACGTTAAAACGGTACAACGTCGGGACTAAATGAAATCAAATGGCCAACTCGATATTGTGCCGGCGGCGTCTCGATGCCAAAGAAACCGAGTAAATTAATTTCACTTTCAAACGACACACAAAAAAATAATTGTCTGTACATCAGGCGAAAATTGTGTTTACCATACGCCGACGTGTTACTCGTGAAAAAAACCAGTCCAACACAGCAGCGTATTTTAATGTATATAATGTTTTTTTTTTTTTACATAATAAACTTTTTTATTACACATCGGAATATCTCGTTCCGATCTCTAATCCTAATATTGCGTTTTATTATTTATTTATTATCGCGATAAATTAAAACTGATAACTTTGATGTTTTCTCCCAAATCGTAAGCCGAGCGCTTAATTGAACATTCGTTTAATGGTTATTATTCTCCACAGTCGACTCGAGTTAATCCGTTTCAAAAACGAGACGCGTTTACGTCATCTCCGAGTAATGTTGCCTACGGAGAAAAGTAAAGAAAATTCAAATCAACCGTGAAATTTGGCAACGATTTCCACATCCTTTGCCGCCGCTTAATGCGTTTTTTAAATAAATTAACAGCGACGTGGTATCTAGTTTCTTGTAGAGTCTACGTTGCCGATGAAATAAAAATATACGATTTCATTAACGACGACAGCTGTTCTCGCACACGTATGTAAATTATGGAGTTATTATTTTTTTAACCGCCAACGGATTATCGACAAAGTCGTCGCTCCGAATTCGATTAGCGACGGGACAATAATAACTGGGAAACGTAGACCGTCGTGTACCGGCGGGTCCCGCGGATTATAAGAACCGCTCCGGCCAGAAATCCTATTTCTCGTTATCGTTTCAATGATCGACGGACAACATTTTTTTGACGTCCACGATCCGTTTTAATTTATATCGTCGTGATATCTGTCCGACAATTACACGCGGCGGACATCCATTGAAGCGTACATCATTTTATCGTGCGCACACATTACCTTGAACGGTACCGGAGCGAACAAAACGACCGGGACGGCTCCACGTTTTGCACGTTTACCCGCCGTCCCGTCGATTACAGGGGACAATTTGAAGGTAAAGAATAAAAAAAAAAAAAATTGTATTAGTAAACGGTCTTCCTATAACAGGGCGGCGACGTGTGGTTTTCGATTGTACGCCAGTCGGCGGCAAGACAACACGAGTACACATGCCGTGCGACACAAATCATTTGAACGTGACACGTTCTTGTACCTTTTTTTCAAACGTCATGTGATTGTCGTCTGAATTGTACGGTTTCCACTAGTTTTGTGAGCGCAACACAAACATAATGTAATATTTTATTCGAATAACAAAAAAAAGATTTTATTTGCACTCCGACTGGCATGTATAAATATTACTGTTCCATTTGAACAAACCAATATACACTTTTATGTAATGGTTCACTAAATATTTGCACGGGAAATATACCAACGCGTACACGTTGTTGTTATTTAAGATGCACATTTATGGAATTTGTTTTTTAACTACGTTGTTTGCAACGGAATTCCGTAGTGGCCGCGGGCTGTTGAAACTTTGGCAGTAACTGTTTTATCTTAAGTATTATTATGAAGATCGTAATAACTAATGTCCCGTACTCTCTGGTTCGAGTATTAAATGTTACGGGATTTTCGCCGTAGACCATAACAAAACTAAAAAGTCGTTACCTTTTAGAGCGGCGTTCGCTCAGTTTTATGAATTAAAATAATAAATATTTCATTATGTAGTTGATTCTTTTGAAAGGTCACTACTATTTGCATTGACCTTTTTGTTACACCACGTAGGATAATTAATCATCGAAAACGATGCAATTGAAATAAAAACAAATCAGATTTATTTTATTACTTTTATAATCTCGTGTATATTTTCATTAAATCTTTTTTTTTTTTTTTCATATATGTTTTCATTTTTAACAAATTAACCAAGTCCTGAAAATAGGATAATTATTACAAAAAAATTCTGTACAAGACTAAAAAAAAAACCTAACGTTTATTTTACAATGCGTATAGAAATATCTAATATTACGTGTAGTATCTAAAAAATATATATAAATATATAATTACGGTATACAAAGTTATATTTTTAAAAATTAATATTTTTTTTATCATTTTATTTGAATTTTAAAGTTGCGTTTATAAGATAATAACATTATCATAGTCATAACAGAGAGAAAAAAAAAATGAGAAATGTAACAAAAATAATATCATGTCAGATAATAATATTAAATATTATATCACAGGCCAACAGTAAACATTAATACAATGGCGTTTATTACTGAGAGCAAATACACATTAAAAACATTACACTTATTTGCAATCCGAGTTACCGAGTCCAAAGACCTACCTAGGCCTGTGAGTGTTTAACACTATTGTGTATTTTTTACTATTTTGAGTGAAGCTCGTTTCTACGGTTTATTTTTTTTTTTGTGTACGCTAACGTAGGAAATATATATTTGTAAATATATACGTTTGCATAGCGCTCTTTGGCCCATTATCCAACCAGACTAGATAAAAATTACATAAATTAAACAGGCACACCTAATAAGTCGTACGTTTTAATTTATTTTTTTCCATAATTTTATAATTATAAATAAATATGTTTATAATGATGATAAATTATATAGGAATGTACACTTATAATGTAAATTATATTTATATACCATATCAAAAAAAAAAATAATAATAATAATAATAAAGTATAATTATCGTATTGAGGTTGTCGGTGATAATATATGAAGGGTACTTCGCAACATTTTACATCTTATTGTTTGTTACTTTTTTACATGTTATACATCATATAAGGAACTTAATCGGTATACATAATGTTTTTGTTTATCTTACCCCACGACTGTTTTCGATTCATTAAACAATAACGTAATACAATACAATACATATTACTGACAAAGGGGTACAGTCTTTTTTTTCCCATTATTATTCATATATATATTTATATATATATATATTATACCATTTTTTGAAGATATTATTCGTTCAGTCTTTACGCAAGAAAATTTTATACCCTTATTGACAAAAAAAAAAAATAAATAACATTATTTTCTTTTTGATACCTAAGTAATCAAAAATTTAATTCTTCGTGCGTTTTTATCTTTTTTTTTTTCATTATTTTTTATTATCACAATATTTCACAGCCAACACAAAAAGCTACACGCACGAATTAAAAAAAAAAAAAAGTTGGATTTTTATCTTAAAATTTCTGTTTTTTTTTTTTTTTTATATCCAACTTATCTCGATTCACGTTAACAGTGTGGTGTTTCGAGCAGATCGATAATAAAACGAAATTATACCCGACAAATATAATCAAAGGTAACGAATAAAATGTTTGCCGAATACAAAAAAAATGGCCGTCGAGTATTACTCACGTTTTTTACAATAAAAAAAAAAATTGCCGAAACGCGTATTTATACAACAGGCAATTTTTCACGACGAGTCAACACCAACATATATTTTATAATAACTATAAATACATGTAAATCATTTTTTATGGTTGAGTATTAAACGTGCAAATCCAAAGTTTTTTTTTTTTCTTTTGTTTTTCTATCACAAATTAACAATACGAGACTACTTCTCGTGCTTAGTGGAGTTTATCAACTAATTTAAAACACAATAGTACAATAATAATAAATCCTCATTTAACAACAACCCGTATACAACCCCTACATCGCAGCCCCCGGGGTATCAACCGCGTGCAAGTCTCGCTCGGGCCGGGGCGGCCGTGCCTTCTTCCGCCGCAGCGTGTGTCCTCCGTGGCCGTCCCGTCGTTCAGAACATGTACGTCGGCGTCAATATATTGTTAATGGGTTCGGTAATGCGGCCCAACGTTTTGGCCGGTTTGCCACCGTAGTCGCTACGGAGAACGGCCGCGATGGTGCCGTTGAAGCCCCAGAGAGCGGGCGTAGGAGCGGCCACGGCCGTCTGAGGTAGAGGTAGCTGCTGTTGCTGGTCGTTCATCCTTTTGTTGTTGTTATATTCTTGTTGGTGGTGTTGCTGGTAGTGGTTTTGATGGAGGTGTTGCTGGTGCTGCTGCTGCTGCTGTTGTTGGTGATAATGGAGATGTTGTTGCTGCTGCAATTGCTGTTGTTGATGTTGGTGGTGGTGGTGGTGATGGTGGTGGTGCTGTTGTTGTTGTTGTTGTTGTTGTTGTTGGATATGAGATTGTTGTTGTTGAAGTTGAGACATTTGCAGGTGTTGAGGTTGCGGCTGTTGTTGGGTTTTACGTTTTAGTTTGACTTGGCAACAAGAACACCCTTTTGAAACTAAACAGAGACATAAAAAACAAAATCATAAGCAATTTGTTTTTTCTTAAAATATATATTTTAACGATTAAATGCTTTTTAATACTTATAGTATACCACAGTGTATGCATAGAACAATCGGATGTCTTTTATTACCATATTTATAACCGTATGAGACACTGAAAACCTATTTGGATATCTAACGAGAGTAACAAATTAACTACAGTCCCTATTTTAAATTACTCCTCTGGACCCAACAGTAAACACGTAGTCTCCGAAAAAGGTTTTAAGGAAAATTAAACGATCACACGGTATTTACAACGTAGGTTTATCTCTTTCCATACCATTACTGTAACGGAGGACATCCGTAAAAAAAAAAAAAAGCTAAATCCTAGATTTCTACTTTTTATTATGTTTGAGGCCATTTAATACGAAAACTTTATTGCAATCCCTATACAAATACCACCAATAATCGGTCTATACTTTAAAATATATTACTGTTCTTTTGATAAAACAATGACATAGTAAATTATCGTTAAAGGTTCGCTATAAAACCACCGCACGTTATGATAATATTAAAGTGGTTTTTATCGTTCAGACAATCGCGACGGCCGCCTGTGTGTGTAGGACGACGACGCGACACGCTATTTGTTTAGAGTCGAATGCGTTCTGAACTTTAATCGAAATAGGTAAAAAAGCGTACGCGTTCAAAAACGATTTAGTATTATTTTACTACGGCCGAGCATGCAAAGTAGTCACAAAGCACATGTATAAATTACACAGCGTTTGTTTTAGGTTTAATAATTATTATTGCCGCTTTTAGTATCATTAAACGTGCGAGCAAACAGAATTATTGTCGTTATTTTCGAGCATGGACCCGACTAAATGCGCGTTTCAATCTATAAAATGAGTAAACGCCTAATAATGAAAACTTACAACAGTCCACACAATTACTATAAGGTTCCCACAGTTCAACAGAGAACACAGATGCGATTGTTTCATCGTGTAATTTAATTGTTTTAAAAGAAAAAAAAAGCACCATGTGTTTCGTTTCTCGTGTTATACTTAATTTTTTTAATGTCTCTGTGTGCGAGAGAGAGAGAGAAGGAGAGACGACACTACAACAGAATCTAGAAATACGATACCATTGGCCAGACATATTGTAAAAGTCGACTACAATCGAACACCACCACATTATTAATACTAATTATTATTATATTAAAATTTGCTTTGTGAAATTCTAGGAGCCAACAACCCGCCACGGACGCTTATACATTTTCAAACTCAATTCACCGCTTTGTATATGTATTTTATTTCTTTGGAAAATAATCATTTTTCCAGTCGACCGAATCGTGTAATGCAAAATTCCGAATAAATATAATACGGCCAGTATAATACATAATGGCACAGGAAAGACCCGACTGCGATGACACTTTATTATTATTGTATATAAAATGTGTAACGATGGAAAATTGTCGCAATAAATCGACCGGTCGTCGCCAGGCTGCTGCACAGTGTACACAATGTTTCATGTCTCGGGATGGCCAACCGAGAGAGGTGTAGGTGTGTATTATACATAATAGTCAAATGGAGGACGTGCTGCCAAATTGTAAAAGATTTTTAAAGACCGTCGGCGATGACGCACCCGGGAGACCAACAAAAATAATGTTATGTGCGTATAAAATATTGGAAATTGTCGACAAAAGACCTTCTCCGACCAAACGCGTTCAGCGCATCGCACTGGCGGCGGTGCACATGCGATTGTTGTTATTATTGAACACAAGGTGAAATGTACCGGCAGAAAGAAAATGGCGATGGAATTCGCCAAGAAGGAATAATAATAATGGCAGCCATTACAGTAAAGTATTGTGTTTATCGTCGTACTGCGAAATTCGGGTCTCCGCAGAACACTGTGCCGGCGCACATTATGCATTTTCAAATGAGATGGAAGAGGAAGTCGGACAGAGATATTTACGGACAAACAAGACAAAGAAGAATATCGCTGTACGTTTTCGCGAAATTATTAAAAAAAAAAAAAAAACCTGCACGCTGCGGAGGTTCGCTCGCGGTTTCCTTTTGTGCGGTCCGTGAATGTGGTAAAAAGGTTCCGTCTGGAGAAAATAGTTATAGCGGAGCGGTAAAAAATCTCGGCGGCTTCGACGAAATGGGCAAACGCAGCAGCAGTCATATTTTTTACGCGTTATAAACGCGACAAAGTGTCGGGTTTCCTATTTTATACGCTCTCAGTAAACAGGAAATCCAAAGAAGGCGACCGCCGCCGCCGCCGTCCAGTNATCCAAAGAAGGCGACCGCCGCCGTCCAGTCGCATCTGGTCGTGTGCACCACCTGGCCCGGAGTGTGTGTAATGTACACAATTTTCTTGTACACGCTATGCGCATTAAAAAAACAACAGCCCGCCGTTCCGTGTAATATTATAACAGAGACGGTCACGACGCGGACGAGAGAGCAATGTGCAGCACTACGATTGGCCTGTGCATTGATTTTAATGAGGTCCAAACTACTGAAAATTAATATAAACGACATGTGCGCGCGCGGCACAAGGCACAGCGTTTAGGAAATTAAAGCAAATCGAGTATGATGAAAAATTAGGGTCAAACGCCGCCGGGCAGGAGACGAACATTGCGAGGGCCGTATTAAGCTCACACGATGCACGACCGTAGTAGTCGTTAAAGGGGCAATTTCAATTTTTTATCTTTTTTAAATACCTCGCAAGAGGGGACCCGCCGATCGACTGTGGGAAACGTGACAAGTGAAAATATCGATACGATGAGATAATCGTAAATTGGAAAACGCTCACAGCGCACAATATTCTCAACGGTTTGCCGCACATAGTCGTACAACGACTTCACTGAAACGCTGTGTAAATTTCGGTAAAAACTTTTTTACCGCACCTAATCTAGCCCCAGCAGTCGTCAAAACAATTAACGAGCGACGGGTCGAAAAATAAATTACCGAACGATGTACGAGAATAACTCCAAACATACAACACACGGAGTAGTAAGCGCTGTCGGTGTACAGTAACAAAAAACACAATATCTGTGCGTATAAAATATTCGCAGGCGGTACAGACACGCACAATGGACGTGCCGGAGTAGTATCCGTTTCACACGGGCTAAATGTGACACCATTGTGCGAGTTTTTTTTATGTATTATGCATACACTACTACGGCTATTATTATTATTATTATTATTACATTGGTCGAAAGAGCTCAACGGGCCGCAGCGTCATGAGTCATGCCGGCCGAATTTCTACACAAAGTAATGGTGTCGGGGGTTTTTTTTTTGGCGTATCGACACAATGTTTTTTATTTTTTTAATCGTTTGTTTTCACGGACTCGCTGCTCTTCTTCACGAATGATGACCGCCGCGGTGGTCGATGAACACAAACTGATAATTGGGAATGTGATCGCGCCAGGTCCGGACACAAGTGATGTTATTTTTATCGAACCAAAGTCGTCGACGGTCGTTTGGAACAATAAATCGGAACGTGGATTGAAAAAACAAAAACATAATAATACTAATTATGCCTACTACAAATTCCGAACGGAGCCATCGTGTGTTCTCATGAGAATAATTACAATTATTACAATAATGATAAATTGTTACGCCCATTTTATGATTACAATGTTCAAATCGTTTAATTATTACACATTGCTATTATCCAAACTAACGACGACCGGAGGCGTTATTTCTATTGTGTTTTTTAGCACGCGAGATTCAGGCTAGGCGCGGAAATATTCGAAAAAAAAAAAAAAAGCCAATAACAAGGTCGTTTTAATGTTAGAATTGCCCGTGAGAGTTGAAAAACTTTTGGTTTGCCCGAGTTGATGTATGTATTTTTTTTTTTTTAAGGAACGCAATAACTTCCCAATAGTTTACAACAATAGCCGTTTTGCACCGGTGTAATTTTTAGGAAAAAAAAAACAAACCCTCCTGCGCGTTAAAAAAACAACACCATTTGCCACACATGTGTTGATAAGCGTGACTATCCACAAAAATTCTCTAAAAACAAAAAACCTACATAATTTATGTGTATAGATAAAAATGAAAAAACAACTTCCGTTTCTAAATATCATCGCTTTGTAGACGGGGATGACAAAAAATAAATTAACATTTATTTTCAATGCGAAACAAACCGGTAGAGATTAGTCACAGTACTAAAATAATTAATTCTCTCTCTCTCTCTCTCTCTCTCTTACTATCATTAAAAAAGTCGTTTCAAAGTCAATAAATTAATGTTAATCCCGAATAGAACCAAAAAAATAAATTTTACTTACGAGTCGTTGGATAATATATTTATGCAATAAAAAGCAAAATATCTTTATTTATGCCAATAAAAATAATAATTTGGATTTTTATAAAATCTTCATGCATTCGATGGTAGCATAATTATAATATAAATTGTCATTATATTAATATATAATTGTCAAATATTTGCTATTACGAAAATTCAATTAAATATTCTAAGAAGTTTCTTAAGTGAAAAAATTAGGCGTACAAAAAGTACACATATCGACTATGTCTAATCGATCAATAAATCTTTTTCATTTAGTCTAATAAAATTAAAATTATAATTTATTTATTCAAGCTAGAGTGTAAAGAACTCTGCTTCGTGTCACAATAAATTATGAAATTACTTAAAGAAACGTTCATAAAGTTATTATTAAACTTCCTAAAAATATATCTTATGCAAATTCAATTAAAACATTTTTTAAATTATTTTCAGAAAGAACTTGAGAATTTATCTGGTAATTAAACTGAATTGCTGTCAATTTTAAAATAATTTATTATTAAATGAACAATTATTTTTATTTTTTGTTACTACAATACCGATAGATTTTTTATCGACTTGACAAATGCTCCAAACAAATCAAGAAAAACTTTATAAAAAGCATAACGATAATGGTTTTGTAAATCAACTTGTATTTTTGTTGAATTAGCTAATGTACATTTGGTACATTTTTCAACTACTGAAATGTTACTTGTATAAAAAGCTAAAATATATCAAATATTTTATTTATCTCATACACCTAAGTAAACTATTTGTATGGAATAAACAGTTTCTGATAAGTTTGATTTAGGACAGAACAATGAAAAAGAGGGCGAATCTCGAGCAATAAATCTACCAAATATTTTTCAAAAATAAGAACTCGGGTTTCCCATAAGATTCCTATTATAACCGTCATCTACTTTTTAGTATCAAAATTGAATTTTTATCATTTTTCGGCTTACCGGTCAAGTGAGTTTTATCCGTTGGTAAGGCAGCCGTCATCATCGGCGGCGGTAGGCTAGCCGGCAGGTGTTGCTGATATTGTTGTTGTACCATATCCAGCGTACGTTTGCCGTCGTGGTGTTGGAGTTCGGCGCTGGAACCCAACGGAGGCCACTGGGATGCACCCGCGGCCGCGGCCACGGCTCCAGCAACCATACCATACGCAGTCGAAGCGGTCACGCCTGGAGCGGGCCCGGCATAGGGTTTTTTGGCCGGCGGTGGACCGTCGATGGACGTTGTATCCGCACCACCGGAAGGTACCGATCTTGCGGCCATCCTGCGACTACCGGACGAAGACGACACCGTAGCGGCGGTCGGCATATTGTTGACGAACAGCGGTCGCGTGCGGCTTTCGGCTTTGCGGTAGTACGACGGGTGGATCATGAGCAACGGTTCGATCTTGCCGCCGGTCGGTGGTTTGGCCGAACTGGGCATTTCGTACTCGACGCTGCAATCCACATGAAGGGGCACATGGAAATCCTTTGCGCGGTACGAGCCCGAGGAGGCTACGACCGATGGAGTCGCTCCGGGACTGGGGTACGGGTCGTAGCTGGCAGACTTGTTGTAGCACGTCGTGGCGTTTAACGCCATCGCACTTGACACTCCCGCACTGGCACAGAATCACAAAACACTCGCTATGTAAATCTTACGGTTACCGTTTGTTTCCTCCTGAGACGGTCATAAGGGCGAACAACACTTAATGCCGCGGCGCACCACAAACAATATAATTAAATGGTACAGATAAATTCGTAAAATTAGGTATCGCACGAGTATTCGGCGACAATCAGTGACACACTCGTACAACAAAACAGTGAACAGCTGGACGACGGACACCGGACTGGAGTCGCTCCTTCGGTATATTCGACGATAGTGAACAATTTCAACCGAGTCGTCGACGGTGGCGCTACTAGCGGTCGTCGGTCGGAGCAGACCCACTAGACGGCTTCAGACAACGTTTACGGCGTTAATAATCGTTATTATTATTGTTGTTGATGATGTTATTATTATTATCTACCGTTTACCGATCCGCTGTTTCGACCAAGTCGTTTACATCCCACACGACGATGTGCCTTTATTAGTTAATCATTAAAAATTCTATTATATTCACTTTAAATAAAATATTCATAATCAGTTTAAAAACAGATTTATTTTTATTTTCTCTGTTTCCAACGAATTTTCTGTGGAAAATCGGATTTTCGATGGTAAAAAACACCGACTAAACGAATTTGGACTTGCGAATCCACTCAGCTCTGTCTTTTGTTTGTTTTTTAATAATGTCAATTAAACGGAATTAAATAAGAACTTGTACTGTAAAATTTCTATGGAACGAAATAAAATATAATAGGCATAGCGTACCGCAGTTATAACGCTTAATTGTAATCGGTTTAATATTATTATTTTTTTTTTTGTCGGTCAAGAAGAACTCGATGAAAATAAATCTGTAATTAAAATTATCATTGATGCCCACCGTTCCTTTCTGTCATACCGCATTTTATTATGTAAATGCTGAATGTGCATTGTGATCGTTTGTTCGCTTTCTCCGTAAACGTGTTTACTGGGAATTTGTTGAATTTTCGTACACTATAAATTCTGCGGACCGTAAAATCCAACTGAGAGTAAGCTGCGTCGGAAGACATCTCATAAAAATGGGCGGCCAACGATTCGCTTGCAGTGCTTTTTGCAAATAAATCGAAGTCATCCTAAGTAATCCTAAGTATAAGACAGATATCTGCGAATCTCAAACGGTACGACCGTGAGCGGGTTTACTGTATTGCACTAGAGCTCCGAAAATAATTCACAAATAAACTACTAGGTAATAATTACTAATTAAACAAAAAAAAACTCGACACGCTGTTATCGTATGCAACACACGAACTGCCAATTAGCGTTTGCGGTATTTGGCATAATGAGTATTTTTTGGTAAGTTAACAGTAAGCACATTACGTACATACGTATCATATTATAAATAAATTTCATTAAAACACACCGACGTTGTTTATATTTTCATGTGTCAATAAATTTAAATTGCTAATTTATTATTTATACAGAGTGACTCACTCGAAAGTCTTTTGTTTTTGTTTTATTGATGCATAGAAAATGAGCTGCCGTAATAATGTATTCCGCTGCCGACTGATTTTCAACACACACTTTTAAATAGTTTGATTTATTCAAAAGCGAATTCAAATGTCCTGCAATAACACAAACGCGATTAATCGTCCAAATGGTTTTTATATTGTTACTTTGTTGAATAACAGAGAAAGGTCTTTTGTTTGTTACTCTGAAATCACTAATGTTCACACGGTGTCTTTGAATAATCACGTTAACTGTTGATAAACCCACTGCATTCGAACCAAAAAAGTACAAGTTGAATTTTTTTTATTTAATCAATTAGTTTATATAATTTTAGATATTTAATTGACTTCGTACATAATATTGAGAAAAGTACATTCATACAACATGATTTGTAAATGTTGAGCTTTTTATCATTGTTTACTAAACGATTATATCACTTGCAGTAAATACTAGAACGATAATGAGTAGTAAATTTGATATTATAAAGCGAACCAAAAAAATGTGCACAGAATGTTCAGCTTTATTTTTTGAAAATGTCAAAATAGCTTCCGGTTAGAACAGTTTGACGAAACCCCGTTTCATTTTTTGCACGAATATATATATATATAAATACACTAAAAATATAATTTTCATTTATTACTTCCATTAATTCTAAGTCGATTCCGAGTATTTTAATAAGATTTTCTTATAGATTTCGCTCGAAATCAAACTGTATTTACTTTTGTTGTTTACAGAATTATTTTCAATCGTCGCGTTGTTTGTGACAAAAACTAACTCGGTGTTTTGTTGTGTGGGTATGCTTACTTTTGACAGGTTTCAGGATATGAAATAAATACGAGAGCATAAGAAAAGTGTATTGATTTTTTTGTTTCCTTTCCGTCCGTGTAAGGTGACGCGTGATCGTTGCAGAGGCCTTTGACACATGATGCGACACACGCACTGCGGGACCCATAATGACATGTAACCAGTAACAGGACGCAACCCAAAGGGCTCCGTGGAAAAAAAAAGGAAACTAATACATAATGCCACACAATAGTATCACATGGTGTTGGGATCCACCTGCGGCCAATGTTCTACGGGACGGGAGAAGAAAGAGATGTTACGCAGTTGCACAGCTCCAATTGCGTTTGGACACATTTTTAATTTAATCACCGGCTACCCTTCTCTGAATTACTTTGCACGACATAAAAAACACCCTACTTACCGGTTATAATTATACTTGTGCGTAAAACGAGCTCATTGTTCTGCCTTTGCTGAAAAATGCTTCTCATCAAATACACAGTTTATTTTTTTCTTTTTTAGACTGTACGAGAAGAAGAAAAAAACGAGTTCGCAAAAAACATTGCCTTATCGGATTTCTCTAACGTTTGTTTGTACTTTTCTCATTAATTTGTATACCTCGAGTTTATATATAAATGGAAAATGGAATTTTTTATTTTTAATAAGAACTGTTTAATTATTTTTAAGTAACCTTGTACGTGCTAGAGAAAATAATTAAAATATACCGAAGACGTGACCGAACCGGAGTCGCGTTTAATGTATTCTCAAGTAATTACTAAGTGTATACAGTCCGAAACATAACGTCTGGCGGAATTGTTGCGCCAACCTTTTGTACAATAAATTCAATTTGAAAATTCGTTAGTACACTTCTAGTAGTGTTCATAGTGTCGAAGACGTTTTATTTCAAACGAATAGATTGATCGATCCAACGGTTTGGTTTTTATAAAAATTTAAATATGTACAAAAGTAATATTAGAAAAAAAAAAAAAGAGACAAAATAATACCATCCGACTAACTCATAGTAATTAATCGTTCGAATGAAGTCGAGTGGCGCCGCCGCGCCATACTACAAACCCTTTTATCAAGAACATTATTATTTTTTAATTGAAACGCTGTACGTTTTATCGTGTACAATAAATTATAGTTATGAAATGTTTGACATAAAATCCGTTTACAGAAAAACTACTATCCGGTTCCAATTTTCTGCCCATTTTCTTGCTGTGCATTGATATTCGCTCGGTATCGCAATAGAAAATATGTAATTTTATGGAGTGTTATACAGAGTACAAAACGAGCACTATACCTATTGATTTCCCATTAAAATAAAAAAACCATATGGTTGTCCTTTCGGTATTTTTCTTAATTCATGTTGTTCACGTTCTCAAAGACCGTCTCAGTACCGTTCTTATAAATTTTACATCCGAGCCACTCAACCAGAATGTATTTCTTCATTCATTATTATTTTTTATACGGAAAATAAACAGCAGGAAGTAGCCACGTGCATGCACATATACCGTCGGTTACTGTTCGGCGGACCACCGTCCGTGTGATACACGGTTGAATACACAAAAGTTTCTTCGAGCATGATTGAACATTTCTTTATAAATCATACACAATATTTGGTCGTGGGAATTTCGTAACTTCCCTGATAAAGTACTGACTTACGATTAAACACACGTGCGCTCACATTATATCAACTTGGCACGTACACACGTTGCCTTTTGGCACGACATTTAAGTCTATAAAAAATACTAAAAATACGTCTCTTAACAACGTTTCGAATTAAACCGATTCATAATTACGATTGCTTAACATCTCCTTGCCATGCGCCTGGACCATTAAAAATAAGTCTGCGCCCAAACAAGAAATAAAAATGACACTTTTTTTTTGACATAATTTAGAGAAGAAAAAAAGCGACGTCGTCGGACACCTACTTAATTCGTTTATAATGTGCACCGTTATTGCCAAAAGTTAAATCTAACGTTTGGTTTCCTTAAAAAATAAATAAAAGTCGTTTATCTGTACGGCTAGTTGGAAGCGTGCAAGTATTTTATGTTTTATTTTTGTTCGGCCCGTTACGGTGGAGAGCGTAGGACTCAAGAGTCGCAGTGTAATTACGATTCGATGAGTGTTTTGCATGTTTTTTATGTTTGTGCGTGTGTGTCTGCTAATCATCGGTTCGTCTGCCGACGGAACTCAAGGCACGTAAATCGTTATCGTAAATAAAGACTAGACCGTATCTCTGTGCTTTTAGTCGAGGCCGCCTTCGAGTAAAACGATTTCGAAAACGTTTCATTATATCCGAACCTTTTCATTCCTAATGGGGCGGGTCTTAAAAATTGGTTTTTGAGGGATTTATAATCTAAAAGACGCGTTTTTTTCCCTCTTGTGATGTTTTCCACGCTATTTAAGACCGACAACAGATGTTTTTCGGATACAAATCACTATAACGCCGCACCGGCCTTCGAATAACATGTAACGCCGGATTTAGTTTTCGACGGTTCTCCGGCGAATCATGCGAATCGCCACCGTCACCAGGGCAGAACCACTTCATTATTTTTTTAGCGTCCGGGACTGCGGATGAGTAACCGCGATGATGAGATACCCGTGTTTTGGTGGTGGCAAACCATTAAAATGAATTTATAACGTTTTTTATTGTTCTTTCGGAAAGCAACATTTTCATTGGGTTTTGCACGAACGGTCTAGCCGAAATTCAAATTTAAACAACAGCAATTAAGGAATATAAAGTCAATGATTATCGTTGAACTGCTATCAGTCGTCCATCATCACTTTTGTTTGATACTAGCCATTTAGAAAGGTCANTTCCTTAATTGCTATATTCCTTATATAAAGTCAATGATTATCGTTGAACTGCTATCAGTCGTCCATCATCACTTTTGTTTGATACTAGCCATTTAGAAAGGTCATTCCAAAATTTGTGTGCGTACATACGCTAATTAAACCGAACAATTCAAAGTGCGCTCCGACTAATTGTGGAATTTGTTAATCTTAACGACCATTAAGTTTGAATAAAGTGAACTCGGCGAAGAGTCAGGTCGGGTTTGGGCGCACCAACGTGTGTTTGTATATTTAATCGATAAATATCTAGATTACATAAAAATTACTAAGAATTTAAACCGAAAACAAAGGTTCGTGTCGATACTGTCTATTGTATGAATGAAGAATAGGTACTTATTGTTTTTCATCAAGTTAATACAGAGGATAATAATTATTGCCAAGGTTATCAGCCATAAGCTGTTTGAACGATACAATTATAATTGTACCACGAGTTGTTGTTTATTCGAAAATAGGCATAAATGTATAGGCGATGTGTATTAATTCAATGAGATAACGAAATCTCATAATCGAAAAAACATTAAAAAGAGAAAATACATTTCGAGAATGGAGTACCGTGCACTTCATGGTTTGTTTTTATTAAGCCATCGTAAATTAGACATAATTAATGTCAAGA